GGCAGCGGAGACAGCGGCCGCAGGAGCTCGGGAACCTGTTCGGCTATCGCCGCTCGCGCGCCTATCTCTTCCTGCTTCATAAACTTACCCGCCGCGCTGCGCCGAGGCCGCGCGCTGCCCGATACAGACTAACGGTCCCCGGCGCGTCCACCTGCACACGCGTGCGTGCGCGCACGTGCGTAGCGCCCCGGGCCGGCGTGTGGGAGGTGCGTGGGAGGATGCGTTTTGCGGGGGGGGGTGACGGTTGGTCGCGCCGCTACTTGGCGACCGTGTCGCGAGAAGTGGTCGGTGGGTCAGCTTGCGCCGACGTTTGGTGGAAGACTTTCTGCGGTTCGACTTTGGAAATGGAATAATGCCCCGTTTCTTCAATGTGCAGTTTTTAAGATGGCTTCGGGCGATGAGAATCTCATTTGAGATATTGTTTAATTTATACTTCAACAAGTAACATTTATAGTTAAATTTATTGTATCTCGATTCTGACTTCATCGAAATAAGAACTGAGAGATTCTTGCTAAAAAGATGTAAATACATTTGTAATAACGTTAGAAATTACTACCGCGTAGAGATGAACAGAAGATGACAATCGCCAGTTTACAAATACTGATTAATCATATTATTACGTTTGTCTTTAATCAGTATAACTTTACTGTTTCAAATATTTTCACTATACATTTCATCTGCTTTCATTGCGTTCTTTTACTGAGTTTCTTGTTTGTAGTGCGAGCATGTTCCTTCACTGAGTGACCTGATTTTGTTCTCGTTACCTACTTTCTAAAATCAAACCAAAATTCCTACCACATTTCTGTTAAATTATTAATTCAGTCTCAATTCATTATTTCTCGTCCCATACTAGTAATTGTTATTTTTTTAAGTGGTCTGATGTATTTTTTTACACACTACGACAGTATTACTCACCTTCTTATTATAGATGTGTGTCATCCTTCTCTTTATACGAGAATGTTCATCATACCATGAGTTCACGACCCATATTTCGACCACCCCTGCGCCACGTTGAACCACCTCTGTCCCATTTCGCTCCGTCCCGCTAGCAGTCGCATCGTGCTACAGCGTCCCTCAGCGCGTCGCCTAGTGCTAGTCGGGGATATTTCGCCCCGAAACGGGCCCCCGCGCGTTCGCCCGCTGCCGCGCCGTGATACCGGCCCAGCAGCACGCGTGGCGCCGTGCGACACGACACGACACGACACGGCGTGGCGTCGCCAAATTGAAACCTGTCCTTGCGGACGCACACATCATCGCGGGCGGCCCGGGCAGGGGAGATTACGCGAGCGCGCTGGAGAGCGTGGGCGGAGCGCCCCGGGCGATGCGATGGGTCCCTGGGCGAATGCCGCTGCCCGACACGCGCCACGGCTCGGCGAGGGGAAGGTTGAGCAGGGAATTGAGCTCCGATTCCTTTTCTCAAATCAGCTCAACATTGAGATTAGTTTGCGATTTTTCTCTGGTGCGTTTCATATGAAATTGCATGTCGTCGTTGATGATAGATAATCTCTTATGTGAAAAAATAAAATTTTATGAGAGGAAGTAAGAATACTTTTGATGTTAATAATGTACAGTTTGCTAAGTTTCGGAATTCTACCCTTCCTACATAATAGAATTAAATATTTATTATTATATTTTTCTGGGAGTAGCTGACGAAAATCTTCCATACGGCTGTTACAAAAAAACGAAGATATCCTATAAATCATCGTCAATAAATTGTAAAAGTCGCGTAGGAGTTTTTTATTTTCTATTTTAAGACCACAATTTCTTGTTTTCTTTAAAATGTTCTTATCAAACTAGGAAGAAGGAAATTTTAAATAATTGATGCCAAAATGTAAAAATCACTAATTTCGTCACATACTCGTATGAGGTTGTCCATGATCAACGACGATATGTTTGTTAAGATGAGCGTGGAGAGTTTCAAACTATGAAGTAAATTTCTTGATGATTCATCTCTATTTAAAAGTCTGTAAAAAATAGCAATGGAAGTAGTATTTTAAATCCGTATATTATGTTAATCATAGCTATGTAGTTGTGTACGTATTTTTGTAAGAAATAAATGAAATACGTTTCAGTTAGCTTACTATTTTGCACTTTCACTTGATCAACCCTCATTCACTTATTTTACTTTAAAAGAAAAATAGAGATATGAGAATTCAGATATAATTAAATCAATAAAAACCGGAACCTCAACATTATATAGTTTATTGAAATTGTGTTCGAACAGTTACTACTTTCAGAATTGAAAATTATTATTGGCATACGGTTCGTCTTAATATGTGATTAAAATTCCTTGTACCGACTACTGGTGTTGCAGAAATTACCACGCATTTCAGCAGAATGAAATATTACTTTCCATTCTGTTTTATCAATGTGAGAATTTATTGCTGGGTATGTAAAGGGAACTTTTAAATAGTGGCAAGCTGTTGACAGGTATATAATTTAAGTGACTGTTTTCCGGTGATTCGTAATTTTTCTCTCTAGTCTTTTTTTCAACTTTGTTGAGAAACACGCACACCTGTAACGTATGCAGAAATGATGAATTAGAGGGAGGGCAACTAATGAGAAGTGTCATTATCTAATCAAGAAACCAACATTCGCTGCAAACTTAATGTAGATCTACATGATTAAGATGTTGGACGGCTAGCAGGACGTGCCTTGTAAAATTTAATGAATTAAGACTCTCAAGCAAATTAGAGGTACGATCTTTCTTTCAGTAAAATGGATTCATCACTTTCCAATGCAGGCAATAGTCATGAGTCATTTCTAATGAGGAATTTTGCTTTTACTTTGTTGTATTCGTAGAGTGAAGGAGAAATTGTAATAATGAAGGATATATTTTTTGTTGAGCCATTTTTTGACAGAAAAACACTTTTAGTGGGTTTCTCGTTTATGCAATATATTAATTTGTCATTAACATACAATAGCCAAAATTCACGTTTTGAGGATCATTGTAACCCTAGTGCCTAAATCGTTCATGGAATTGTTTTCAAAATTCATATTCCTAGATTCTTACGACCGCATTTCAGGCTCTAAGGTTTCGAAACGTATTTAATAATTTTTGGTGTTACGGAGCCCCTACGCCATTTCCATTATTTTCTCCACAAAAGTTACAAACTTTTTTCTTAAATTGTTTTACGATGCAATTTCCCATCTTCAAAATATTTTTTTTTCATTATGCCACAAGAAGCAGTTACGATATTGTCAATGGCTAGCTATAAGCCTAAGAAATTACAGGTACAACAGATTTTCGATACTTGGAAATAAGCACAGACGTCCGATGGCATTCACGACTCGTTGATATTGAAATATTACAATTTGTTTTAAAAAAAGCACTTTCTACGGGAATATACACTTACGTCAAAGCAGTAATTGAATTATTTATTGTTATGAGGAACACATTGATAAATTAAACTAATGTATTATTGGACACCCAACAGATAAAATATCTTTAGAATTAAAACTATCCAGATTAATTACACGGGAATAAGTTGCGCAAAAGTAAAGTAAAACGAAATTTGAAATATAGTCTGAATGAAAACATTAAAAACTCTAGTCCTTTTTAGTGAATATTTGCTTACGAATATGCTTTCCTCATATATGAAGAACTCGCTTAAGAGTAATCAAACCTTTTCCTTTCTGTAGTTGCAGAATGCTCTCTTGGCTATTGACGGCATTAAAGATGTGCATGTATTGGAGCCCAAACAGAGTTCAGAGGGAGTTTTCTCGGTTAGACCAAACAGCCAGGCTGGATGTAGACTTAGAAATTACTCACAGTCTTGGGATCTCGTGTGTGGAAGTTCGAGTAGTCTATATACGATATTGATAATAGAAAAAACGACGTCACCACAAATTTTAATGAATTTAGTTACAAATTAGGTCATTGCGTTCTTCAGTTTAAATTAAGCTTACACGTGAAATTAGGCTTAATTACTGTATTCAGTTTAAACTTAATATGACAATCATTTTTATCAGGATTCTCTGGTCACAATCAAGTTTAGAGAAATTCTTGAAAAAAATGAAGATATTCGGAATAGGTTTTTAGTAGAAGTTAGTAGCTACATAGATAATGCGTTGTTCTTTGGTCTGTAAATAAAATTCTTTGTTGTTGTTATTGGCCAGACAAAAATTTAAATAATTATGAAAATTTGTTGTTACAGTTTTCTGTTTTTTACGGGTGTCATTCACGAAGGTATTAAGGGCATTATTGTCGATTTATATAGACTTGATCTGTACATCATTGGTTTTAGTTGTATTAACTTGATTCGGGGATCACTCTTCGATATCTATTTGATACATCCAGTTGTATGCCTATATTGATTTAATCAAAAAGATCCAGTCAATTGTTTTGTTAAGAATTACAAGTCTGGGGGGTGCAGTCTTGTAGAACATGGGGAACGTTTGGGCTGGTTTGCTTTCAAAACAGATGTAACAGAAGGCTTTCTCGTGCGCTCCTTAAGCCCCGAGTACACGCCGCGACGCCTGCAACGCGAGAGAGAACACGCCGACGCCGATGCCGCCGCCGCCGCCGCCGCCGCCGATCCCGACGGCGGGACGACGCGCATCATCGAAGGCGACGCATTGCGACGCGACGGCAGGCGGCGGCGGCGGCGGGCGCGACGAAGTGAAACTATATATGAAAGGACGGGAGCCGTCCCGTTCTTCACATATTACTGGCGCGGCGAGGCGCGGCGCCGTCTTCCCGGCTTCCCTCGCTGGCCGACGCTCCCGCCTCGCCAACCTTCCACGCGCGCCGCGCCGCCTCTTTGTCCGCGAACGCGAGCGCGCGCCGCCGCCGCCACTGCGGGGACGAAGACGCGCGAAGACGGCGGCGACGCG